GGGGGGCGATATTTTTATTGATTTTCTATTCTGCTCGGTACCACGGGAGGTACTGAGCAGAATAGCCGAGCCAAAAGCCGCTCGGCAGCATTTGGCTATATGCTTACTGCCGTTTAGCCCTTATGTGAATAGGGGCGAATGGCAGCAATTGAGCTGCCCGAGCTTCAGCTCATCCGATCCAGATGTTGGATCGGCTGAGTCAAAGTCCTTCTGCAGTTCGGTCAGCCGAACATGCTCTGCTTGTTCTCCTGAGACTAAGTGCAGCCAAAGGCAGCCGTACTGAGGAGGAGTGAATAGCTGAACGTAGTTCGGCTTGGTTATTCACTCAGCTGCCTATGGCAGCCTTGCGAATAACCCCTTAAGTACAGGAAAAATAGCTTTTTATCCTACCAGAAGTCCACTGAGCTCCTAACTTCCTGCATTAGGTTGAAAGCTCAAAGGGATTTGATTTGCACAGAGCTCTGCTTTAAAGAGACAACATGGGAAAAAAGTGCATGTACACCTTATTTCAAATTTTGCCCAGAAATACAAAATACATTTGCAAATCTAGTATAGTTAAAAATGGAATATGGAAAAATGGACTGTAGCTTGCCTTCTTATAGTAATAACTTGGCAGTTAATATAAATCGAATTTGTGGCTAAGCAGCATGAATATTTTTGCTACTGCAGGCCACCCGGTAACAAGTTTTGATCACTCCTTAGCGACCTGTTTAGGCTGCTTTCAAACAGAACATTTTAAAGAATGTAATTGATTCACGTAACGTTTGTGATGTTCACTGCATGTGTAATGGACCAGGGTTCCAACAGCAAGGCCTTCTGACCACTTTTGAAGTTGTCACCTGTATAGGTCAACATCTCACCTAACATGTTTCAGCATAATAGCTGCATTTATAAAGCAGTGTTGTCACTGCAGTATAATAAATTGTAAAGTAAATTTTTAAAATCTGGATCCACATGTCTTAATGATGTATGCGAGGTACAGCTTTATTCCCAACATCCAGATTCCTATAGTAAGTGGATTTTCATGATCCCTTACAAAAAGATGGTGTCATGAGGCCCCTACTGTGTTAGCCATAAGAATTTGCTTCACGTTAACCCACCACCTAGGTTATTGCTGGGTCTTTCTCAACTCCTAAGTCGGAGCCCACAGATCACAGTCTATACATTGTTTTTTTTACCTTACCCCAAAATCAGTGAACAGGCATTGTTCAAAGCCAAAGAGAATCTCATTCTAATAGATATTATGGCCTTGTACGACACCCCCTATCTGGTATTCAGATTCACCAGACGGTACTGTACAGTATCCTTACATTCAGTCAGTAGTCAAGTCTAAAGCATGCATAAACCTATATTAGAACTAAATAATATTAGTGGATGCCTTTTCCTACTAGCATCTTCATTAATTACTATTAAAATAGCTTGTACATTAAATATTTTTTTTGTCTAAAGCATTTAAATTGTTTAACAAAAACCATCTCCATGTACACAAAAATATAAAAAAAACACTTGTTTTTCTCCTTTTAATATTTTACCTTGTACGCACCTATAATTTGGCTTCCAGTAGTACTGTCCCATTAGAAGAGGTCAACTTTTCTGTTTGGTCTTTACTGATCTCATAATTTTCATCATACTGTTTATTACTACTCCAAAATAAGAAGACCTTTTCCTAAAAAATAATTATGCTTGTTCATTTCCAATGAAGGGTAAAAAGAAAACAAACTATAAAAACACTTCTTAAAAAGGAAAAACTCATCTGGACTGGTGTCACCCAGTCACAAACTATTATAGAATGGCATTTGCAGAGCTGAATTTGAATTAAAACTGATAGTTTAATTTTTTTTAATATAAATTATACACCAATTATCCAATTTTTATAGGACTGGCATTGGCTAATTGGCATTGTGGCATGTTGAACATCTAGAGAAAAAAAAGGCTTGGATATAAACCACCTCCAAATGAAAACAAATTTGCAAGGTTTTTTGCAAACTGTACATATTACAAAAAAGCTGGCGTCAGTACAAAGAATACAAAGCTACATGGGAGTATAATCTTGCATTCAGTTTGTCAAAAAAGATGTAGGTTGCATTTAGGTGCCAATGAGAATATTAAAGTCTACCTTCTAGATCAAGTAAATCAAAAACCATGTCTGTCCCATTGTGAAGATTTCCATTCACTTTCTGGCCTGTAGACACAACAAAGCGAGGGGAAACCCTTTCAGGCTGAGGGAAATGCCCTCTTAGTTATCAAGTGTCCTAATTGGGAGATGTTTTCTATTGCTGTTCTGCTAACAACTCGCAAACTGCAGAGCTGAGTAAGCATGCTGTCTTTTAATACACAAGGCCACTAATACTTCTGGACCTACTTTATTTTAGGTGTTTCTTATAATAGGAGTTCTACCAACTATGCAGTACAAGTGCTCATTGTGTCATTTTACCAAGAAGCCTACAGAAAGACTCCTTTAGGAGTCCTTTAGGAACCTGCTGCCCTATACCAACTCTTGTTGGCACCCAAAAACCAGAACATCCGAAAATAAACACCATCATTGGGATGAGGGAAACAAATACAAACAAGATACGCAATTTTGATTTGGTGAAAATATTAAACAGATTTAATCTGTAATGGTTTATGAATTTGAAATATGATTACTGCCATTCAGAATGATTTCGGTTGTGTTTAAATCAGGTTATATTAAAAAAAAAAATCATGAAAAACACATTGGAGAAACAAAATTAGTAAAATTTTGTATTGTGGTGGAACAATTTCATTCTGTTCTGTGTGAGAGATGCAAATTAAGCTTGAAGTCAGTCTTCTATCCACACACAATAACACCACAAACACAACATACATATAGGCAAGACAATGCAGTGCAATACAGTGATTAGAATTTCAATGAAACAATGCAAATGAATGATATGGGCAACAGAAATGGTAACATTAACAAACGTTATTAAAACTATATAGCCTCATCTAAAAAGGACAATGTTTCACAAAATGAGACACTTATTTGCATGAGCATCTGTGTATACAAGTGCGTACAAATGGGTATTTCTCATAAAAGCATGTAGTAAAAATCCGATTAACATGACAAGAGTGGTTCTTACCAGCTTGTATTCTATAAAAATAGTTCTGTACACAGATTACAATTACATTGTCAATAGAATACAACATTTAAAAGTGTTACAAAAAGAAGAACAAAACCTCTGCCACTCCTAAAAACCAACAAGAGGTAAGGTACCCTTACATATAGGATGTTTATAGGGTTCCTCTAGTTCTAAGTAAAATTGACCTCAGAAGAAAGCCAATTATGTTTCAGCAAAAATCCTAATGTCCCACCGAGGCAAGAGGTATCAGGGTTGCTTGATGCATATTCTCAAAGGATATAAATGTACATCTTGCACTTCACTTGTCTGACTCTCCATTTTCTGTATCCAGGTTACTAAATACACAATGCTGATGACATAAGGGATTCTCAATGTTCTATAGTCTGCAGACCACTTTAAATCAAGTTTTCCCATGTGATGTCCACCTATGCCTACACCCACTTACCCAGTCTAAGTAGGATACAGTTCTTGGATCTCTTCCCTCATTCTGCTCACTGACTTAGATTAATGGTGCTGCTCATGTACGGTAACTCATTTTCATCTACATTATCAGGCTTCATATACATTATGTGCTCCATTTTCTCTTTCTATTCCCCTTTATTTCTTTAAATATATTTTTGGAATAAAATCATGCTCATGTTCCCATCACTTACCATTCCCCTGCCACTGGGACATTCATGAGACAAAGCAGCAAACAACACCTTTAGAGTGTGGAAATGTCAAAAATCACATCAGGTTTTTATTGCCTTTTGTGCTAGCACTGTGGAGATTTCACTATACTTCCTGTGTGGATGACAGCCTGTATGTTAAGAGTGTGACCGGGTGTCACCAGCATAGGAAATGTCTTTCTTGGAAACAGAAAGTGATTTAAAAAAACAACAACTTATCAATTATACTAACCATTTCTCAAAATCTAAAACTGGAAAAAGGACTTTAAAAAAAATTCAAATTTTCATGTATGTATCCAATCAGCATATGGGAAGATCCGAAAGAAAGAGCAAAGGCATTAAAGAAAACACTGATTTGAACACAAGGCTATATTTAATGAGGGAGGCATCAGAATTTCCTACCTGTTTAACAAATGGAAGGACTGCAGCTACGAGAATAAAACAGAGTCCCAAGGCGATGAGGATGTACTGCAGATATTCCATGACCATAGGGAGCACAACCAGGGTGCTGTAGTATGTATTATACACAGGACCATCAATAAACCCACTCTGCAGGGAAAAGGAAGAAAATACAGCAGGTGGGTTCCAAAGAACAATATAAAAAAAAATAAAGCTGTCAGGTAGTGTTTGAAGAACACATTAGTATGGACTAATAGGGGTTGATTTACGAAAGGCAAATGGGCCCTTAGCATAACGAATGAGGTGTTTGCATGATAGAAGTCAGCAAATCATGTGCAAGCAAAAATATATATATTTTTCCTTGCACATTGTAAATAGCCACCAATGTGAATTTTCAAAATTTCCTTGCAAATTTGCCTTTAACATAACATAGCTCGTCTGTTTTACTAAACTATCATTCTTCCTCAACGGTGTCTGTACCCCTAGAAGTACTTCCGATAAGCTCTTCTAAGGCTCAATTTAGCCAGTAACATTTTAGGTCTTAAGGACTTCTTTATGTAACACTAGGTTGTTACATTTCTTCAGAATCTGAAAACAGACAGAAGCACCAGGCGAATACGGCTTAAAAATGCATTACTGCTAGCTATATGGTATTTTGGAATTGCTTGTTTTTAAACCATGTGAATATACAGGCCAGTAGGTCCTAATATTCTCTTACTAACCCCTTAACCTCAATGTAACCCCTAATCCCAACACTAAAAAGTTATCCCTAAAAGACAAACACCAGAAAGTGTTGCCTAGAAAAAAGGAACACTTCACTAGATACCCAGGTTTAAAAACTCTGCTCTCCCCAACACACCAAGGCTCCTTGCGCCACAGTGTTTGAATGAAAGTATTTTACCCCACAGAATACATGTAGACTTACTCACTCCCCTGTACAATATAAAAGCAACACAGATGGCAGAAGTTTGCGAAACAGTGAGTAATCTATTGGAGGACCAAGACAAATGCATTTTATTGACACATTGACTTCAATCCACCGCCACTGCACGTAGGGAGCCGGCCGCCATGCGCTTGAGGCCAAACTCACTGGTACGCGGAGTTTGTGGTGTGAACCAGCCCTTAAACTGAATCTAACCACTAGGACAACCCCAATCTACTGAAAAGCACACAAGGGAGCTTTAAATGAAAACAGTTGCCATTAGGCATGCCCCGATACCAGTTTTTCATCATCGAGTACTGATGCCTGTACTTTTGCTAGCATGGAGCTGGCTTCCTGTTCAATCAGGAAGGGGAGGCGAGTCATTACCCGCTGCCAAGCTTCCGGATTGCCCGAGAAGCCGTCTCCATGTTCCCTCTAAGTATCTGAGCTTTTGGGAGAGTACTCGCCCAAATACTCGGTATCGATGCATCTCTAGTTGCTATGGGCTGCAGAAAGACGCAGTAAGTCAAAACTGAATGCATTACATTTTAGCAGTTACGATTTCTAAATTTTACCAAAAATGCAACTGATCGCTACCTAAAGTTTCTGTCAGTCTTTTTTGCTACCACTTTAAAAATAAGCCTTTTTATTAAGGTCTACTGATGAGCCTTTTTGATTTAAGCATCTGTTTTATTATGGATACCCAGGGTTCATCACTTACATTGCCTGTGATTCATTTTGGATTTTAAAAAGTCACTTTGGGTATATAGTTCTATACATCATGACAAGAATGAGTTAGCATTTGCAGGTACACCTTTCTCAGTTTCATTGATTTTAATAGGCTGTTTTTTTCTACTAGCTATAGAACCCACCATAAACAAACATGGATAGTACTAAAAAAAACAATTTTCCTTGAAAGAAAAAGGTCAGGAAAAGGGTTAAAATGGTGCCAAATCTCATCTTCCACCAAACCACAATATAAAATCCAGCTATTAGTTTCTAATTTCTATTGAGTAAATTGCAGCATAAGCTTGAAAGTACAGGAAGAAATCATGAGGGGAAAAAAATGTCAATATAGCACTAGATAGGTGAACTGTGTTCAATTCACTTATAAAAATCAACTGAAATCCAAATTGTATCAAAAACATACCTCTTCAAACCACAGGAGTGGAAGGATTGCAGGCTTAATATTTCCAGTTTGTCTGAAAATAAATTGTGCAAAAAATGTCAACAGGTTAACTAAAACCCATAACTATTGTATTATCCTATAGACAACAGATGGAACACATTTACAGGCAATAAACAGTCATTTTTTGTCTAC